CACTCCGGAGTCTTCTGGGAACTGCTGTCAGAGGGTAGCTGTAAGTTATTTAGAAGTGGCCTGGGGCAGAGTGAGCAGCCAAACCATTTATCTGTATTCCCCGAAAAAGCAACCAATAGTGTTTGTTAGGCAATTCATCCGCTGGAATAAACAAAATTTAAGATAAAAGCTGGTCCCTGAATTGCAAATGAGCAGTACAGCTGGGCAGGACTGAAAGACTCAGTCCTAGCAGGCGATAAGCTCTCTCAGTCTAAGCTAATGTCTGTGTTGGCATCCCCCAGGCCCTTGCTAAAACAATTTCTGAGACTGAGCTCCATTGAAAAGTAACTTCTATTTTTCATGCTGGTTCCATGTAATTTCAAAGCAAAGTGAGGACTTAGGGATGTAAGTAGCTTTTTATTTTTAAACACTACTTCATATCAAGCTCCAACTCTCCCTAAAAGGACAAGTTTTCCCATGTTTAAGTAGCAAATAATACAGAAGAGGTAAAGACAGTGAAACTGGGCTCAGAACTTCTAACAGCCTTGATTCAGGAGCTCGGTTCATTTGCAAGGCAGTAACTGCAATTTGTACATTAGATAAAATAATGTCTTTAAGAAAAAAATTCCTGGATTAAATTAGCCTGCAATAATAATATCCAGGATTTCTTTACACTTAAGTGTTCTCTCCTCCTCATGAACGGTGGTGTGATGTCTTTGCAGGCAAGCACACAGACCACTAGCTGTCATCAGACCATTAGTATCAGCTTGCAGATGTTGACTTCACTCCCTGTTTGTCAAGTCCTAGGGAGGCAATGGCAAGATTAATGTTTATTTCCAGCTAAGCCTGGAACTTGAAACCTGGACAGTTCCAAAAAACCCTCTGAACAGGTCTAGTTTGGCATCTTATATAATGGCAGGATTTTATTTTTTTTTTCTTTTTCCATGTCTATACAGCATTAACAGTGGGTACTGGCTAAAAAAAGTGCTAGCAAAAGCCTCTATACTTTTTGATCTGAGAAGAAACTTCCGAAATGCATCCATAAATATGAAAATGTTGACACGCTGATGTAGAGGGCACAAAGGTTCTCTCCACTGAAGGCAGTAAGAAAGCTCCATGTGAGTTTCTTGAAAGCAATTTTCTTCGTTCCCTCCACTATCTGAAAGTTAGACAGCTTATCTAAGATGGTTATTTGTGCTCCTTCTGTAGTTCGTGGTGAGAGATCAGCCCCTCCAGAAGGCAAACATCCTGCAGATAGCCTTTTCGAATGAGTGACATGCCCTCCAAATATACTTATCTCTCTGCATTGACTATCTTAGTCCTAACTTTTCATCGAGGTACTACCACAAAGTGAGAGGACTCCCTGCAGGCCGCCTGCAGCAGTCCTGTACTGAAATGCTGCCACAATAACAAAGCATGACTCTATGGATCTACAAAGAGAAGAGCACTCGATTTCAAAATTATCGTGCAGATTGTTATGACACCAAATGATGTATGTGACAGGAAACTAAATTCCCCTTTTGACGGTTGGACTTGATGATCTTAGAGGTCTTTTCCAACCTTAATGATTCCATGATTCTATGATTCTATGATTTTGACCCCAGAAATGCCACTCACAAAAACATCAAGTTGTTGGGTTTTTTTTAATTAATCTGGTGTCATCAAGCATATTAGGGGCACCAACTTCTGCTCATCTGCAGCTGTGTTGTAGGCTGTAGCATATATTTCTAAACAGATAAAAGCATAGCCATGAAGATGAGTTCCTGGATATCTGGTGTTTGCAGCTTTTAAAAGTCTGCATATTATGTATAGAAGCTACAGATATAAATCTTAGTCGCATAACAAACCTGGCTTAAACACAGCCCTATTTCTACATGTAGCATGGCATCTCTCAGTGTGAGGGGCTTCCCGCACGTGATCCACAGGAGAAGCAATGGGGCTGGACCATGCAAGCCCTCCATGTGCAGGGCAACGGGGCCGGCCCCTGCAAGTTCTCCAGGTGCTGAACACTCAGGAACAACTGGGTGGAACAGCTCGATGTCCTGTTTCATTAGAGTCACGTTTCTGCAAACATTAGTTACTGTCTGTTTTGCATGCGTCCCAACGCAGAAATCTGCTTAAGATTGTGAAACAGTACTATGCAATCTGTCATTACTATTATTTTAACCTTTCCTTGCATTTCTAGAGCCAGATAATTAAGGAAACCTAAAGCTGCACAGGTTTTCTAAAATAGGCTGTCATGCTAGTAACACTTTCATTTTTCAGAAGCACAAAACAGAATCAGTGTGTCTCTGCAGAGCGCACTCACTTTATAAAAGACTAAAATATGAACATTGCTAAAGTAGTGCATACAGCACAATTACATTTCATCCAATATTTTATCAATATCTACAAATGTAAATAAAAAGGTATACACTATGACTTGTCCAGTCAACAAAACAGGTCATGGGAGAACTTTTTAGGCAAGAGGTTTGAGGTTGGTTATGGCGTGTGGGTTCAGTCATGACCCATACAACACTGCCGTGCTTCTGGAGTCCTCCAGGCAAAGGGTGAGACCCCCCTGGGGTGCAGACCTTTTACTGCTCCTGCACAGAGAATTGTCCTCTGCCACCACAACTGCTGAGGGCACTAGGCGGAGCTGTGAGAAGTAGATCCAACTTTGCCATTTTGGTGCCCACCAAACACACTGAAATAACCTTGAGGTTTAGAAAAACAGTCAGTTTACTCTGTAGGCCCCCAGTTATAACGAGTTACAGTGTGGCAACTGACCTGTGACAGCTGTTGGTGAGCAGTCTTAGCTCTTGGCAAACATTTGGGGATTATTGACTTGTGATTACTTGTTACCGGTGGGAATGTGTCCCAATCTTTTCTTCACAAATACCTTCTAAGTGTGTATAGCCCGTACAATGCATCCAGAGTCTTTTCAACATGAATCCTATAATTCATGTCAATATGCATGTTTACATGTGCAAACACTATTTGTGTTCTAAATCCTGACAGTCTTTAGCCTTTTTAGATGTACTAACACATGCAAGGAAGTCTGAGCATTGACACAGATGTCTAATCCTTATGAAATCAAGAAACTTGTTGCTCATAGGTATGTCCATTCTGAAACTGATGTCTTGTGTTTCTGCTGGCAAGGATCGAAATAACATCATCCCCTTGTGGACATGCCAACACATAGAAAGCATGAAATATGGCCATGTTGCAATATCTCATATCAAATTTTCTCCTGGCAAAAATCATTGACGTCAGTAAAACTGTTCCAATTTATGCTAAGTATTTATCTTCTAAAGAAAATGTAAGAAATACTGTTAAAAAGGTGTTAGGTGCTGAAACATTGTTGATTCTCCTAACTGTCTCTGTTTCTGGGGATTTATTTTTAGCTTTCAATATTATCTTACATAGTTATAATATAATTGGTTTTGTGCAAAAAGGCAGTAGCTACATTACTGAAATCATGTTTAACACCCACACCTACATTCCTATTCAGGACTCTGAGCAAGAAGAAGACAATTCAGAAGATATTCAGGAAGAATATTTCACAGAAAGCAATAGTGAAGTGTCTGAGGAGGCATATACTGAAGAAGATGAAGAGGAAGAAGAAGAGGAGGAGGAAGATGAAGACGACAGTGATGATGACGATGAGGATGAGGAAAAGCAAAATGCTGCAGCTGGTGAGCGACCTGAGGATGGCAGGAGTTCTGACCACATCAGACGCAAAAAGTGTAATGGCGCAAAGGACAATGAAAACTTACTCAATGGCCATGAGGGAAAAGACACTGATAATCTAAGCTTAAAAAGCAGTGCCATCCACCCTTGTGGAAATCCAACAGTTATTGAGGATGCTTTGGAAAAAGTTAGGAACAATGATCCTGACACCACAGAGGTCAATCTGAACAACATTGAAAACATCACTTCACAGATGCTTATACAATTTTCTCAAGCCCTGAGGGACAACACAATGGTTAAGTCATTCAGCTTGGCTAATACGCATGCTGATGACAACGTTGCAATAGCTATTGCTGGTATGTTAAAGGTAAATCAGCATATAACTAGTCTGAATATTGAGTCAAATTTTATCACAGGCAAAGGAGTGCTGGCCATCATGAGAGCTTTGCAGAACAACAAGGTTCTAACAGAACTGCGGTTCCACAATCAAAGGCACATCATGGGCAGCCAGGTGGAAATGGACATAGTTAAACTGTTGAAGGAGAACACCACTCTGGTCAAGCTTGGATACCACTTTGACCTTGCTGGCCCAAGAATGAGCATGACAAGTATCCTGACAAGAAATATGGATAAACAAAGGCAAAAGCGTATGCAGGAGCAGCGGCAGCAAGAGTCTGGTTGTGATGGAGCCATCAATCCAAAGAACAAAGTCTTGCAGAAGGGGACACCTCGATCCTCCCCTTATGTGTCACCTAAGAGCTCACCTTGGTCCTCACCAAAGCTCCCTAAGAAAGCACCTCCAGTGAAAAGTCAGCCGCCAGCTCCTGCACCCCCACCTCCTCCTCCACCCCCACCACCTCCTCCTCCTCCTCCCCCAGTTATTCCAGAGAAGAAGGCACCAACCAGGAATATAGCTGAAGTCATCAAACAGCAAGAAAGCTCAAAAAAAGCATTACAGAATGGACAGAAAAAGAAAAAAGGCAAAAAAAGCAAAAAACATGAGAACAGCATCTTGAAAGAAATTAAAGATTCTCTAAAATCAGTCTCAGACAGAAAATCAGAGGAAGGTTCACGACCCTCCACCCGTCCCTCCACCCCACAAAGGTCTCTCCATGACAACCTTATGGAAGCAATTCGGGCAAGCAGCATAAAGCAATTAAGGCGGGTAAGTAAGAGATCATATTTCAGTAACTGATTGTGGCTCAGATATCGCATAAGCTCAATTAATTTTAGTGCATATATATTTTTAATAATAAAAAAATATTAGAAATATGAGCATAAGAAAACATTTGTGGGAAGGCTTTCCTCTGATTAGGCTTTTCTCAGCACACTGATTTCTACTCGACTGTGGTTTTGACAGAAAGTGGGGTACTTTCCCAGGTTCAGGCTTGTTACAGGAGATGCTGTGTAGCACAGGGATCTTGGGAATGTGTCTGCAGCTCCGGTAGGAATTTTGCCATCCAGTCTGTACAGCAAATGTAATGAACACCATCCCCACCCCACCCCCCCTTTCGTAGGTGGAGGTACCAGAAGCCCTTCGGTGAAAGCCTGGACAACAGAAGAAGCAGAGAGCTGCAGTGGTCAAGAAAAGGCTACTCATCCATTCACTGGTGGTAAAATAGACTGTGTAGCAAGCTGCCTCCAAAGTACACTCTTAGATTCAAACCATTTCTCTTTTATTTCAAAGAAATAAACCCGCTAAATGCGACACAATGCTTTAAGGATACATTTGCCTTGTAATCTGTAAATATGGAAATAATTTTCTTTTTTATTTAATGAGATTTCTATTCAGAAATTGCTGCTTATTTAGATATTCTTTTCAATATCTGATTGCACATCACTGGACAAGTTCTTCACATTGAGATGTAATAGTTTACCAGCCTGTGGTTTCTTCTTTTTTTTTTTTTCCATGAATTTACAATAAATGTGGTTTGAAGCTTTCAAGCAGACACATAGTTCTGGGTTTCTGTGAGTGAAAACCTACCAGATCTTTGCGTCAAGTTCATGAGCATTAGGGAAGTCTCCTGGGAAAGAATCTGAGATCTTTCTCAGCTGCACCCATCAGGCCTGCTTGGAGGATAGTACCTGAGCCCATAAGTTAGTGCAGTTTCATACTGACATGGGAAAAAATCGTTGATAAGGCTATATACAAGGAAGATTAAGCTGTGGACTGTATCAGGTCACGGGTGTTGCGTACCAGGTCCTAAACCTTGATCTAACAAAATGAGAAGTGGGTGATGAATAGAGCTACAGTTCATGTTGACTTAAAGATTAAAAATTAATGTGGATATTTGAAGGATGCAGCAGAATTATTCAATGGAGATCCACTCAGTACAAGTGCACGTAGCTGTATCTAGGCAGAACTAACCCCAGTGCAGACATTCAGTCAGACACAGAAACTTGAAGAACGGTATAGCATTCAGGTGGAAAAAGACTTTCATATGATATCAGCTGAACAACAAGTGAGGTGTGAACTGTAAATATGATATGGCGGAAGCAGAGCCAGTATCATTTGGAGATGCACGGCTGGAGGTATCACATCACAGGCATGTAGTACTAGACATACCCCTCTGTCAGATTAATTATGGTTCTGGGTGTTTCAGCTAGTGTGAAGGTAGTGATAACATGAGGAAAATTGAGCAGTGACCAAAATGTTGAAAGGCAAGAGGAGATATGTGTTTAGAAGCACTACTAGATATTAATTAGTTTGCTCATTTCAACGATAAATAACAGAATTAGTATTTCTTTTACATAAAACCCCATCAAAGAGAAGTAATTACTTAAGGTTACCCGACATTGCAGTAGTGCTGGAAAAAATACAGGTAAGCTTGTATCTAGAAATATTAATGAGACAGATTTCCCCAGAAAGAGGAACAAATTACTGGAGGGAAGTGAAGCATAGTGGAGAGGGGATCGATTAGTGAATTGTCAGGAATGTTATGGCAAGAAAACCTTGAAAATATCCTTTTGCTTTTGTATTTATTGACTAGAACCTACCAAAAGAAATTTATAACTGAAACACTTTCCAACATTTTTCCTCTTGCCTCAGGATCACAACAACTCATGAGTATTTCTAGACCCAGTATCAGAGGAAATATGGTACGTACAATTAAGTCTTTAGCTGCCTTTATAATTGCATAGGCTCCCATGGCTAAAAAATCAACCTATGGTCACTCTCCCAAATGGAAAATGGAGCTTGGGATCTTCTGAGGATGGAAGCAATGCTGGAATGCAGACCACAGGAGGAGACCTGCGACCCCAGACCTTGTCCTCAGCAGCTTTGTGAAGGATGAGAAACAGTGAAATGTTTAATCAAATGCCAGAAGCAGCTAAGCAGTTGCAAGGGAGAATGAAAGATAGGGAGGGAACTCAGGGAAAGCACCATGGAGAGGATTTGGAGGAAGATAAAAAAATGTTTAAAAAAAACAAACCCAAACCTTTAAGGAAAGAGGGAGAGTGAGGAAACTATCTGTATGGGAGGTGAAAACTGATACAGGAAAAAAAATGATACAGAAGAAAATGAATACTGAAAAGTGGGAGAAGAGAGGAGAGGAGAGGAGAGGAGAG